TTCCATTGAAAAGTTTTTACACAGTGCTCTTTGAAACATTCACATTTTATAAATCGTTCACAGTTAACATAGCCGCTAATTGGCAGCTCTATTGTTTCTGTTCCAGTGAAGACAGTGAAACCGTCTGAAGCCATTTACTTAGGATAGACCTGAATAATGACCCCTGAAAATGTCATTGAAAACAAATGAACCGTCTAGAAGTTAAGTAGTTTTAAAGTTGAAATTTTGAGTAAAAAATGAAACTGAGATAATCGCCATTTTGTAAAAAAAGTTTTAAAATAAATCATTCGCTTCATATGTGTAACAAAAACTCATAGAAATATACCATACAATGTAATTTGCCGATGTTAAATCGTCAGATAAAAAAATAAAATAAAAATATTGACAATTCGAGGGAAACAGACGAAAAATCGTCCGCGTTGTCATGCCGTTGTGTTATCAATTCCACTTAGGGAGGGACACAATGGATTACGTAAAGCCGATGACATATTCATACAGTTATATAAACATAGCGATCGGCATTGGGTGGGTTGAGTCTAAATTTACCTTCCTTCAAACCTTTAAAAAATTACTTTGTATGACGCCGTTTCTGTGGACCGTGCGAAGTTAGACGACCAGGTTGAAAAGGGCCCTAATATTTTACTACACAACGGCTATTCGCAGTTTTTACTACTCAATCACCCAAACGCCGGTGAAACAAATTCGAAATGAAGTCACATTGGAAGGGGAACTATTGTAAGGCAGGTTTCATTCAACTACAGACGAGACAGGTCGATGCACATTAAACGTTCCATAGTACCAGTGGTCGCCGATCAACGTATTTTGAAAAATCGCTACCGGTACATGCTAGCTGACAAGGGGGTTTCTGATTAAGGTAACCAAGATGGCATCAAAGAGTGCATGATTTTTCCGCGGCATCTCATTGCCAATTTTTCAGTAATTTCCAGGGTATTCTTTTATTTTTAATTAACCGAGCATTTTATGTTTGTGTATTTTGACACTGAAAAGTTAGCTATCGATGACAGCAACAGCAGTGTT